AAAACAGATTTCTCTCCACAAATCTTCCTCATCTGTGTGTGATGCCGTCAATAAATCTCCCGTCTGGAGCCACGAAGCTGGCTTTATCTTAAAAGGTCAGAGCTGACATGTGCCTCTTTGTGTGTCTTCCCCAGACGTCACCATGCCGTCACTCCCCTCAGCGTCCAGACCGGTCAAGCCCTTCCTCCCGCGTTTGGTCGACCTCCCCCTCATCCTCCTCTTCCTCGCTTCCTCCTCCTCCGCGGACGGGGTTTCGCTCGGCCGACCCGGATCCCCCGCGGAGCCCAGCGCGGACATGCTGAAGGCCCTGGAGTACGTCCAGAGCCTCCATCGGAGGTCCGACTGGGGCCTCCGGCCGCCGGCCCCCCCGGCCGTCCACCGCGAAGACCCCGGCGAGGCGGAGGAGGGGGGGGAGGACAGGAGCGAGGAGCTGCTCCGGGCCGTGCTCAGCACCCTCCGGCAGACGGAGCGGGCCCCCGGGCCCCGGGGGGCCGAGGGCGGGTACCCCAGGGGGCCGGACGCCGCCAACCCCCCTCCCCGCCGGACGCCAAAACCAGAGGAAGGGGACGAGGAGGAGGAGGAGGACGAGGACGAGGAGGAGGCCGGGTACGACAAACGCACCAACGAGAACGTGGAGGAGAAGTACACGCCCCAGAGTCTGGCCACGCTGCAGTCCGTCTTCGACGAGCTGGACAAACTGACCGGGTCAAAGGTCGCGCACAAGCGCCAGGACGAGGAGGACGACGCGGAGGACGAGGAGGAGGATGAAGAGGAAAACGAGGATCTGTTTAACGGGGGGAACGCAGTTTTCGATGAAATGGGCAGAGACCGTGGTCCACTGGAAGACGAGGAGGAGGAAGAGGAAGAGGAGGAGGACGGAAACAACGAAGATTATCCAGGGCTTGATTACATCGACAACAATGACGAAGAAGATGATGAAGAGGAGGACAACCCAAGCTTTTTAGTCAAGAGGTCAAGCGACGCCAACGATCTGGCCAGTTTAATGGACTACTACCTCCTCAGAGTGTTGGAGAAAACGGAAGAAGAGCAGCGGAAACTAAAAGAAGAGGAAGAAGAGCAAAACAGAAACAACCTAGATCCACGAGTCGTCTACAGACTCCTCACGGTGGCTCAGAAATACCAGATCCCTCCCGGAGACTTGATGGACCTGCTCAAGACGGGAAACGGGATGAGTTCGGACAGGCAGCGAAAGATAAACGAAGCCCCCCGAGCGAAAAGCAGGTTCCTTCAGGCGTCTTTAAAGAAGCCGTACCAGATCCCCGAAGAGCAGTTCTACGGCAGGAAGATTCCGGAAGAGAGGAGGACGGAGGACATTTTGAGAATGCTGGGCCTCGGAGGAGAAGATGCCAGTAGGCCGTCTACGCTTCGCCCTCGTCCAGCCGGGCGATTCCTGGCGTCCTCCCCAACACAGCGGCGGCTCCAAAAACCTCTTAGGGACGATTACGATGACACGGCAGATCAGGACCAGGACCAGGACCAGGACCAGAACCGGGACCAGGACGAGCTGGCGGCCTATCTGGCTGCTCGGATGCTGGCGCGGTACCCCAAACCGGCACTATTCAGCAACAGCAACAAGCAAAAGCAGGAGGAGGACAGACCGAGGGGGGCGGGCTCCTTCAAAAAGGCCGTAGAGAAATATTTCGATCTGATGGAATCCAACAGAAGCCCGAACGAGAAAAGACAATCCGAGGACGACGGCAGGAGCGAGGGCTTCGAGAACGAGGCCGTCATGAAACTGTTGAGCTACCTGAACCCAGAAACGGAGGAAAGCGATGCCAAAACAGCCTGATTTTTGTAGATACGTCCACATGTAGAATTACACAGATTGTTTTGGTGGTTAGGATGAGGTGAAAATAAAGTATTTTGACAAATAAAACACAAAGTCAACTTTAGTTATCATGTAGCTTGTTTATGAACACAAAACCAGTGCTCGGACATTCCCCCTTGATGTTTTTCTGATTGTCGACAGATTTACACCAGCCCCACATTACAACACACACACACAAACACACACACACACACACACAGTCAGATTTAGTGTCAGACCCCTCACATTCACTTGGTTTTTGCTTCCTCTTTATTAAATGTGGTTATGTGTGATATACCTGAGATTAATAAAGCATTGACTTTATTTTTTCCTTACTGTGTTGTGTTTCTTCATTTAATCACCACCCACACCTTTTAAAAATGTATCTGTACATAAGATAAACAAAAGCAAGTTCAGATTATACTCATTTACATAAACTTGGGGAAAAATTGGAGCAACCCTGAGATGATTCTATATGAGACTTCATGTTGGCAGTGATACGGCTTGAGGTGTTCCCGCTCTGTTCTCAGCTCAGTAGGCAGGTTTGCTCATGTACTCCTCCATGGTCTGCTGAAAAAAAGAAGATCTGAGTGGATTTCCCGCAGATCAACACCGCCTTGGAGATCTGAAGGGCCGGAGGATGACCCCACCTCCTGGAGAGCGTCGCCCTCCTCCATCGACACACCCACCGCAACCTTAGAGGTTTCTAAGATTTCTCCGCTCATCAGGAACTCGTCCAGGATGAAGTAGGCCTTCTCAAAGTTGAAGATGATGTCCAGCTCACACACCTGAGCAGATAATGACAAGTAATGAAAACTACTGATAACTAATTACATAGATTAGCAGTTCCTGTTCCATAATTACAAATTATCTGTAATTCATCATAAGATGCTAAAATATTCTCATTAATTTATCAAAAGCTATGAAAATTACAACTGTAACTGCAGTGGCCTCTGGAAATGAGATGATGTGGGACATAAAGTCAAGCTAATGGGAAGCCATTTGGGAAATGATTCAGAATTAGTCTGCATACACACAGATGAAAACCTTACACACAAATGTTTACACACTTTACATATATACTATTGAAAATGTTCCATATGAATAACTAAAACCCTTACACATCAAATATATAAAAACTTTCATACGAAGGACTGAAACTCTTATACTTGAATTTCTAAAAACCTTACATCAGACACCATATGGATATTTATTTACAGGTATATATATATATTTATTGGATGACGTTTCTTGGCTTCTAGACCAACAAGGAGGAACTTTGGAGTTTTTTGTTTGTTTGTGTTTTTTATCATGGATTTTCTCCCCTCTAACTCGCATGTCATTCAAGCGTCTTCCCCTTCATTATATCTCCAAAATGAGGAGAATCCTGCCACAGAGTGATCAGAAAAACACTGTCACTTCCTTAAAAATCTAAAAGCTTCTTTGAGGACTCTCGGTGAGTCTGTGGACTCAGCTCTACTTACATTACCGAAGTACCTGTCCAGAAGCTCCACGTATCTGTGCAGCACTTCCAGAGCGAGCAGCTCGTTTTCCTGATCCGTCAGAGCGGAGCAGAAATACAGGCTGGCATACCTGCAGAAAAGAAAGGAAAAGACCACAAACATGTCTCCATTTCTGTACTTCCCTGTTATCGTTAGGACCACTAAAAGAGTCAATCACAAAAGGGATTCTTTAGTTCTGTGTCTTTAACGAGACCTTAACTTTAACTGGAACTGGGTTTCTATATTTATAAGCCAGCTTAAACCTACTCAAGCCCTGTGTGCCCTCCTGGGGTCATTCACACCCCGGTTTCAGTGAAACCTGAGATAGAAATGACCACAGAAAGGCGCGCAAGGGTTAAGCTAAAAATTCGTCCACCATCTTTAGATGGGTCCGGACAATAAGACAACAGGTCCGGATGGGTCTCTATCCTCAGTGACACTTCTGGGGGGATCCCAGACCACCATTATCATCTGGTTCTGTCTCTTCCCAGATGGACATCCCCTGAAAACCGCCAAAGGGAGTAGCCAGGATGTACCCAGACCGGATGACCCCCTCATCTCTGGACAGACGGTTCCAGTCTTTTAACGCACTGTACGTGTGGTTTTAGATTCAGTTCTGGTTCTCTGTTTGCAGTTTTTTGCAGTTTTTCGTGGTCTTAGTTGTTTCTGTCTCTCTGTGTCTCAGTTCCCGGTCCTTCCTGTGTCCTATTCCGATATCTGACTTGGCTCCCCGTGTTTCCCCGTGCCTCCTAAATCAGCATCAAGGCGGGTTGAATTATATTCTGGCTCTATGCCTGGAGGAAGAGGACGATTTGTACCAGATAGAGGGGCGCACAGATGCTGAGTTGCCAAATATGTTAGGACAAGTTATTGTCTCAAGGCCTATAACCGAAGACCGTAAGGACGTGAGATCGGGATTCAGACGTGGAGCAAAAAGCACGACCAAATATGGGAAGGGTGGGAATCCAGCTCGGGAGAGGAAGCACCTCTTGTAAATGATCTTGAAGTCCCTCCACTGGAGGAAATTGCAGGTCCGCTGCGGACGGGCCAGAACTAAGGCCGTCATTTCCCGGATCACCTTCTTCTTCTCCCTCTCTGTTATGGGCGTGAACCATTTTTGGAGTCTCAGCTTCCCCTGCCGGCTGAACAGCAGCAGGAAGTGCATCTGCAGAGAGAGAGGGGGAAAGAAAGAAAGAAAGAAAGAAAGAAAGAAAGAAAGAAAGAAAGAAAGAAAGAAAGAAAGAAAGAAAGAAAGAAAGAAAGAAAGAAAGAAAGAAAG